AAAAAAAAAAAAAAAAAAAAAAAAAAAACATCGTGCGTGTACAGGGGGGGGTATTACCCGCTCCTATAATGCGCATAGGTAAAATGAGAACAAATTTAAAAAAAGGGGATACAGCAGCGGAGGATCAAATGGTGCAACGTCCACATGGGGTAATTCTCCCCACAAGGAAATGCTCAACTCGGGATGACAACAAGGGGGTGGAACACCAAATGGGTGAAACGAACAAAAAAAAGGAACAAAAGAAAAAACAGAAAAAATTTAAAGTGGGTATAGAAAAAGAAAAGCGGAAGAAAGTGTAGCGGCGTGCTCGATGGATCAATGCTCGAACAGCCGCACGTCTTAACTGGGTCATCACTTGTACATGTCACCATGTCTACCGGTTCATCGCTACGAGCCCAGCTCCGTTATAAGCGTGATGTTTATGCCCCACTGGCGAAAGAAGTTGCTCAGGTTCTTCTCCAACTTCTCCCGGTAGTCTGTAACCAGCTGTTGGTTCACAATGCTTATTATTATGTACCTGAGGTTCTTGGAGTTGAAACAAAAGTTTTTTATAAGAGGGATGCACACGGGCGACGTTATAATTAGCTTGAAGCACATCAGCCGGGGAAAGCTATTCTGAATGTAGTTGAAGAACAACGGGTTAGGGTTACACGAGCCAATAATTAGTTCACTGCAGGGGGGGGGGGAAAGGACAAAGAAGGCACAACAGTGGGCTTTAATATATAATTGTCCTTCGGCAGGGGGAGATGTGTGTGTGTGTGGACACATAATTGCTACCACACGGTTGGGTCGTTAAAATGAGCAACGGAAAGGGGGGGGAGTAGGAAGTGTCCACAGGAGAGCCACTTACAGAACATTGGGGAAGGGGCACTGGTTTATATTGTCGACGAATGGATATTCAACTCGGTCGATCGGTGTGGGCAAGTCATCCCCAACCGGGGAGACCCCCCTCATGTACTTGAGAATCAGCAAAATGCTTCTCCTATTTTTCAGTCGCATTATTTTTTTCCTCCTTAAAAAATTCGTATTGTTTATCACGTCCAGGATGACCCTCTTCCAAGACCTATTCTACGAAAGATGGTGAAGGGGAACAAGGAAGGGAGGTGAAAAAAGATATGCGAATGTGTGAAATGAAAGAAGGAGGTGATGATAATGGGGAAGCGCGCAGGAGGACACAAAAATTGTAAACACGCACAGCAAGCATGTAGGCCACGCAAATGAGCTAGCCACTTTTACCAGGTACATTAATTTGAACACATCATCCATCCACGGGAAGAACTCCAACAGTTTCAAAGCATAAACGGTCGAACATATGGCTTTCATATTTCAGAGGTCATTTTTTCCCCCCTCACACTTGTTAAAAGGAATGAGGGAATGCTACATGATATGCGTCACTCGAGGAAATGTAATGTGTAGAAGCACGCGCTGAAGGTGTATATAGTTCTTCTGTGCCCCTCTTCATATAGGTGACCCTATGTGTGTAAACGTTTGTCAGGTGGGCGTTGTTTACACAACACTCCTTTCGTACTTCATTTTTTTTTTTTTTTGTACATACAAAATGGGGGGGAATTTCTTTCATTTTTTTTGGAGGCAAAACGATGCTTAAATTGGTGTAATACCCATTTTCGAAAAAAAAAAAAAAAAAAAAAAAAAAGAGAGAGAACATAGATTTATTCTGCGCGGTGAGGAGGGCAAATCGCGCGATTGAACCTGCCTACTTCCACCCCAAAAAAAAAAAAAAAAACAAACAACATGGTGCTGCGCTATGCGGCTGCTACACCATTTTTTTTTTTTTCCACTCATGTGTTCACCACTTCGTTCAGAACAGTTACCTCAAGTGTGTAACCCCAATCCTCTTTCGACGTGCTCTCAACAATTCTACGCGGAAAGCCGCAAATCGAAAAAAAAAAAAAAAAAAAAAAAAAACTGACCTTTACACCCTGGCTAAACGGATGCGCATAACTTACCCGTCCTTCTCCCGCCCCTGCCCCCTACACAAACCCTTTATCCAACAGATTATTCTCCGGGGCACTGTGGACGAACACCCACTTCAATTAAGTTGCTTCCCCTTCGGGTTGCCTGCCTCAGCCTCGCTACACAGCCGCCATGTCAGGAAACGCCGTGAACCATGAGGGAAGGGGGAAGTAGCTTATTGGGGTCCTCACTTCCACGTATAAAGAATCGAATCACGAGCAACTTTACACACATATAAATAAAAGTGAGTTGTACGTAGGTACCCCGTCCTACGCAAGCAAACCTTCCCACGTGCTTGCACACACACGCACGGTGAGAGAGAGAAAGAGGGGGAGACCGATCGCGAAGCCGCTGCCTTCTCACCAGTGGCCAAGTCAAATGGGGGGAGATTTTATCCCCATTGCTTTATTCACCGCCCGCTCAGTTTGAATTTTTTTTTTTTTTTTCCGCTAGCATAATGTGACGACAGGGGTAGGGTTCCCCCCCCAAAAAAAGAAAGTACAATCTCGTTAGCTTCTTCTCCCCATGGGAGACTTTTTTCCTGTCCTGCCGCATAACACCAAAAAACAGGGGAGACATCTGCAGCAGGACACGCAAGGAAAACTTTTTCTTATTTATTTTTTATTCAACGAAAAGGAACACAGCAAACGGATAACACAGATCCTACTAGGTGAACAAAACTTAAATCGATACCTCCGTTGCGGCGCTTCTGCTTCTCTTCTGCTGCGCTGCTTCTGCCCCAGTGAAGAGCTTATGAATGAGGAATAAGCTCTACCTCCTATACATGGTGTGCGCTTCTCCCTTCTGAAGTCCTTTCCCTAACGGCTTGCCACCCCCAAGGGGGGGGAAGCGCAAACCGTCAACGGGCACAATAACCGGCTAGCGCGCTCTCCACAGTGGGGTGTCACTATCGTTTGGCACGACCTCCATGAGAACGTTTCGAATGGGGTGACAAACTCTTTTATGTGCCAAGCGAATATACCAATTGCAGAGGGCGACAAACTACACCACAGTCGCTAGGACAGCGGACGACGCGCGTGGCCCGCTCAGTTCTCCCTTTCCCCATGGTCCACCTCATTTGCTTCACCTTTTTTTTTTTTTCCCGTGGGAACTTTACAAATGGGGAAAAAAATAAATAAAAAAAAGAAGCAAAGTTGGCAAACAAACGAATGAAAATGTAATGTTATTTTTACACTCAGTGGAACCTTCCCTCCTGCTGAGGCCCCCTCGCCTGATAGCGGCTCACATATTTTCCCTCCCCCTTGGGTAAAAAAAAAAAAAAAAAAAAAAAAAAAAAAAAAAAAATTTTTTTTTTTTTTTTTTTTTGCATATCTCCCCACGCAGGTTAAATGCCGCACTGCATACACGGATGCGTTTTTCACAAAAATTAATTTCCCTCCCGTGTGGCAACTTCGCAACTTGCGCGAATACATCCCCCCCCCCTCCGCGCTAGGATAACATTTTTACCCCTATAAAGGGAGATCATGCGGCGTTTATGGTTTTACACAAATAATTTTACGTCCCCTCCGCAACGTATGTTTGTTTGGCACGCCACGAAGGGCAGCGCTTTTCATCCTCTCACCGTTTAGTGTTGGCACGCTCGCCGCATCTCATCAACCCATCCACTTCGGCTTGCTGCTATCGTTGCTGCTATCGTTGCTGCTATCGTTGCTGCTATCGTTGCTGCTTTCCTCTTCTGCCTGCTGTTTTGATTTCCTTTTTGATTTCCTTTTTTTGCTCCTCCCCCTGGGACGCTTAACCAAACCGATTGACTCAAAAATGGCACTGGTAAGTTTGAACAACAGAGAGAGTAACGATTTGAACTCCGTGGAGTGAAGAAAACGTATCCACGGGGGACGAGTGTTTCAAGGGCGTGGTTAAGAAGAAAAAAAAAAATAATTGCGCGGTGTTTGATAGCGTTGCGATTGCCCCACTTGACCGTTTTCTACACGGTGATGAACTGATGAACTGATGAACGGATGAACTGATGAACTGATGAACGGATGAACGGATGAACGGATGAACTGATGAACGGATGAACTGATGAACGGATGAACCGATGAACTGATGAACGGATGAACTGATGAACGGATGAACCGATGAACCGATGAACCCATGAACCGATGAACC